GTACAATCTATAGTGCTTATTACAAACTGTTCTGACAGGTCTGTTGTTCTGGAGGAACTATAATAAAAATGTTGGCCAGAAGACATTTGTATATGAAATGTTGCCTGTCTGAGCCAGACGTTACTCTGCAACACAAGGCATTCAGCATAATATTGAAGGTACAATATATTATTCCTTGTGCCAGACTCTGAAGGTGCCGATTTGTTTTTTTTTAATTCTAGATCTAAACTCCCTGGCCTACAACAGTCCTCCCTGGGACACTGATCGAGCACGGCGGGCATAACGCAAGGCCATGGGCTGCGGAAGAAACTGGATCACGGTCGACCCGCTAGTCTTACGGTACAAATAAGAACATCGCGCCTTTTGCAGTACCTCAGAGAATCGTGCAATTGCACCTATAACGATTCGGCCTATATGTTTCTCGGATGTATGACGAGTTCTGCTCAGGTTCCATATTGATTCGGACGTTCTGCACAGACTGTGTCACGGGTGTGATATCGATTTGGACGTGGTCCGGACGTCTTTCAGGCTGCCGAGGCTGTTCATGGGGAGGAAGAGAACACCGAAAAACCATGAGACTAGCAGTTGTTTTGTCATAACACAATAGACATCCTCAAATCGCTGCCACAGTACTCGTAATTCCTAGGCTTATTACTGTATAACCCTAAAGAATACATTGCACCACATGAATGGCACAATTACTGTCAAACAAGAAAAGTGTCACGTCTTTACAAATGCAGTCAAAACCTGTGCTGATGTCACCTCCTGGCTATTGTGGCTGCAAATTGTGGTTTTGCAAATTGGTTCTTTGTATATCATTTTCCCCATTGACCCAACGAAGTTAAAAGAACCCTGAATATTGATATTAAGAATACGATCTACAGTGGCCGCATGTGCCCCTAGCTCTTGACTGGTCACTTTAGACAGGTTTGACTGTTATTTGATAACGTAACTGAAATTAAAAAAAAAATTATTGTAGGGCAGTACAATATCTCACAATTCTTCGTTGCAACTGACCTCTAGTTTAGGATAACATGCTCCGATTTCACCATCTGCGTCGTAGGTGACGATAATAGCGGGCCTGTTTCCAAGAACGACCTGCGTCTCATCCTCGCTCCCATCCAAGAAGCAGACGGTGTAGATGGCCAGTTCAAACTCCGGGCTCGTGCCAAGGAAGAAGCTGCCAAATGTTTTTTTGCTTCTGTTTTTCCAAGTGAAATTAATTGTGATGATGCGATCGTCGCAGGTCTTAGGCTAAAATGGGCGAGATAAAAGAGCCTTTATGATCCTCTCCACCTTAAAACATGTTAAGAAATTACGTACATGTACTTGTATTTGACTTGTCACAGGCCGTTTCTATATAAAGATAAATTTTGATATGATGGCATCATCTCTTCTTGATGTATGTTCTTTTCTTTTTTCTATGAATGGATATACAGTGATGCCAGCAAAGATTAAATTGAATCCTAACAATTAACGTACATGATAGCCATCGTAGATGACGTTCCCCTGACGCTCCTCCAGATACAGTTGGACCCAGTTGTGGAAGCCGAGGACCTGTCTCTGACTTGTCTCTCCTACAAAGACATGCTTAAACGCGGACCTGTGTATATTGTGAAACAAATTAATCAACATCTTCAGCCTAGATTTGTTTACATACTGGACTGGTACAAGAAGGCAAGAGGTACGAGATTCACCATGCATGGTCACCATCCAGAATACTTTTCTTTGTACATGTAATACCATTACGTCCATGGACATGTATTGTTTCAGGTATTGTTGTCATTGGCTGGAGCTTGAGTACAAAAAAACATTGTTTCGCTATCATGTTGTCATGAGTTGGAGCTTGAGTAAAATAACATGATAATGTTGAAGTCATCATATCCAAATACATAGATATGAACATTGATCTCATGCCTTCCACGTACCGTTCTGTCCCGTCTCCGTTAGGCCTTGGATGCAGGTGAAACCACAGCTTGTATAGGCGCTCTTTGAAAGCTTTTTTACCTGGAGGCACCCGGCCTGTAGACATCGATATTTCACGTTGATAATCAAGGTTTGGTCAGACAGAAAAACACGACAGGCAGACAGGAAATTAAAATCATGAGACGAAGTGGAAAACGGTTTACACTGACATCGATACAGTATGTGTCTTACCTTTGCTGGACAAGTAGGAGTGTGCCACATCCATTACCGTAGTCTTTAGACAACGATTTAAAAACGCTCGACTCTTGTTAGTCTTTCTGCCAGTTTCCTCTTCGCGTACCGAGGTGTCAGGCTCGTAGTTATCTAGCAACTGAATGAAAGCTGAAATGAAATAAAATAAAATGCTATGATGAATAGGATATACAATGCGTGTATTTTACAATCCGTGAAATATGATATCAATGTGTTTTCAAATCAAATGTAACGTTGTACGAAAACAATATACCACACCGATTACTCATCATATCATCATATCATATATTGTTTTTAAGGCAATACGTACACGACAATATGAACATTTATAAATATATAGGTACAATGTGAATTGGTCTGTACTATGATACATACATACCGATAGTACTTACCGGTGTAAGTTGGAAATTCACACATGTTAGCCAACTTTCTGTCATCCACAAAGGAAAACAATTTGGGTCCCTACGGCAAACAAGAAATCAAAATCTTAAGTCATCTACGTACGTTGTCAAACAGGAACTTCGTTGTTATGTTATAGTCAACATGGTCACACATGTCACTAAGACACAAGAGGTTTATTGAGGTAAAACTCTCCAGGAGAGGGTACATACATAACAATACATACACTAGTAACAATACATCACGTACAATTACATATACATTTACATTACATAGTATACATTACAAGTGTGTAACATCGCATGCCTCATGTGTTTTAGTAGGTCTTGTTTGAACTTCTCATGTGATGCCACTGTTTGCAGCCCATGTGGTAGAGAGTTCCATGCTGCGGTAGTTCTGTATGTGAAGGCTTTTTAGTGCTGTTTGTTACGGGATAATAGTTTTATCGAATTTGAATTGATTATGAAGTACCTTTAGGTTTATTTCGTAGTCTTCCCCTCTCTTAAACCTGTTGCGATCGAGCTCCCAAAGCCTCTTGCAGACGTTGAGCAGATCGTTTGCCATGATGACCGTCGGATTGGACGTTGAGCTTAGCCAGAGAGGGACCTTTGTTGACACATATCGTAAAATGCATGCGATTATTCCCGTCATACATCTATTTGAAAAAAAAAAAAACATTCCTATAAAATATGACAGCAACATAGCAGCTGTAACGTGCCATTTTGCTGCTGACAGTTCGGATACACTTGTTCGTAGAAATGTCAAAATGAACATTAACCTCGGTTCTTACTCTGAGAGACGAATTTTTAACGAGTGAAACCCTAATATTCGTTGTACGGTAGGTACGACACCAAACGATTGGCATTCTTGTGGCAATTGTGACTCGATGAGTTGTACACTGAAATGCAGCTGTCTTGTGACAGAGGGGTTGTTGTGGGTCCGGACGCTCGGCTCTGTCCGTGATAAGAGACATCATACGTGACGACTATTCCCAGGGTCTTGGGGCACTGTTTGACAGAATAACATGTGTAAAATGTTGTACGAAGCCGGGAAACAAACCTAATTTTTCTTACCTTTCCACTGTACGAACTGTGACAAAGGAGAGAAGAGATACGAAAACGTAGGTTGTCTTTCCCTGCAGGTCGCAACAAGCCTGGCTTGATTTGACTTCACCAAGGTTTCGGTGACACTGAACTAGGGAAACAGACGTGCCGTAGCCTCCTGATTGGCTACCTTTCGTGTTAGCGTCTTGAGGTCATTCTGTCCCGTCCCTTCGAGCGAAACTACGGTGAAGCGCAACAATCACCTACCTACACTAGTTTGGATTGTTCAACCCTAACCATGGGCACGGACTAGAAAGGACCATGGGGGCAAATTTCAACTCAGTGAGACCAAGGACATGTATAATGTCCTTGGTGAGACAAAAAAACAAGGTTAAGATAATCACAATAAAAGGCGTGATAGCTGATCGAAAGGAATTGACCTCTGAAAGATTCTGTGACGCATTTATTGAAAAGAGGAAGTGTCGTGACCAATAGGCACCCTGCCTTTGTCTTTCTTCAAAAGGTCAATGTAAACACCTGATCATGAGTCACAGGTAGAGTGGAAGTCCCCATGGCTATTTTTAGAAAGGACCAAGGGATCATGGGTAGGGAAGGGGACTGGAATCGTGCAAGGACAAGGCAGCAGCATTTAAAGGCTTTAAAGACTCGTTGGTTGGTAAATATGATCTCCAAAAGATTGCCAATCTTCCATAGGTCATTGGTCCAAGAATTATAGATTTGGCAGCAATCACTCTTGAACCGTCTTTCCTAAGATCTCCTAACAAAAGGTTACACACTTATAAAGCCCATTGCAAAACTAGGCTGCATCTGTACAGTCAGAGTTTGTGCTCTCAAGTTGCTTTGTTGTGTCAATAAAGTTCTCTCTATCTGTATCTGTATAGCCGGTATAACCGCCTTTCGGCGTAACACACCAGCTTCACAGGCACGCGGCGGCAGCTGACCGACTATATTACACCGATCGACTTATTACTTTGTGGTTTTCCTGTCATAGTTTCATGTGTAGTTCTTTTAATGCACACTCTGAGTCACCATTTAGCAGGCTCGCTCACTTTAGTTGACATTTATCCATGCAGGAAGCCTACAATTTCTACTTCTTTTTGATGAGCATATCTTTATTATGATTCTTAGGGATAAATGTTATCATGAAGATGTTTGCAAGTTACTATTAGAGTACGTCTTACACAATATTTGGAACCTGGTATGGTGCCATAAGAGTAACAATCAAAATATCTGCCAATACAGTAAACCTAATGATCTGGAGCTGCTATTTTCTCCAACATTGACTCTCTTGAGCTTGAAAAAGTCTAAATATCTGTTAAACAGAAAATACACACAAGGGTACAGGTTGGCGGTCACCTTTATTCACAGTAGTCTCTGTCCAGCAGAGCAACAAACACATGACATACAAACATTCATGGACTTCCTTATATAATATAATAAGTTCTGTCTTATGTCTTAGAGTAACAAAAACTGTCATGGTGTAAAAATACATTTAATTCATTGATAAGCTGCTGACCATCAGTGTAAATGTAACACGTGTATGTATCATGTTTTGATATGTTTGACCATTGTGATTGATATATACATGTATAGGTGTTATCACCTCCTACACAAAATGGAGAAAATACAAAATCATGAATAAGCTAAAAGATATACATAGTACAACAGATCCCTTCTAATTAAACAACAATACACCTCAACTACACATTATACAGTACAATAGTTACTTTACCCAATATATAATCACATATCATTATGATTTTTTAGAAATTTTGTACAAAACCCTTGATACATAAATACCACTATACCAATATAATCTACCCTGAAGCAGCAATATCCCCTAAGTTTGCTTCCAAAACATCGATGTTAGAATATACTTGCAACTATCAAGATAATTATGTAACACATTGTCATATATTTGATTATCATTGTCTAAAGGCACATTGTTACATGCTTGTCTGTACAAAGCAGTGGTCCAAGAAACCTTATCAATAGCCATTGCAAAAAACGATATGCATCATAGAGCAAACTACAAGCAGCCTTGTTTCTTCTGATTATTTTGCAGTCTGATGGTAACACGGTTGTTCTCCTTGCATTTAAACATTAAGACTTTTACGAGGGAATTTTTGGTATAAAGTTGTTACAAAGAAAGGCAAGATATTAGCCATGTTTGCTAAAAGACCAGATGAGTTCAGCTTTATCTCAACAACATAATCTCTCTTCACTTGCTAGTAACAATCTCAGTGAAACTTAATACATTGTAAGGCAATCACTGACAGGCACTTCTAAAATTGTTTTTAAATCTGTTGAAAGGAAAACAGAACTGGCCATGAATATGGAAACAATTGTCCACGAGGCTCCACTGTTCTAGGTGGACAAACTTGAGAGGTGAACATTTTGGAAAAGAGAAAAGTTGTTGAAAACAAAGCAAAACTGGCCTGGTATGTATTACAGAAACAAGTTATCACAGGACTCTATTAAACCTTGTTCTGAGTGGAGTATCTGGCCACAGCAGCTGACTTCTTCACCTTGTCCCACTTGTCTGGGTGTTTGCGGAAGTAAACCACGGTGCCGACGATGATCACCACCAGAACAACGACCAGCATGACCATGCCCACGATAAGACCGACGCTGGTTTCTGTACGCGCCACGAAAAGGCCGCCGCGGTCCACCTGGAACGACGCGACACCCCCGCTGATCTGGGCGTTGAGTTTGCTCCAGCTGGTGAAGCTGTCGGGGTTAGCGTGATAGATGGCCACGTTGCTCATTCCACTGTTTATCTTCATGTTTACCTGTAGGCACAAACAAGTAAACAATAGTTGGCTTACACTTCTGTATGAAGCACAGTACTGGTATAGAGGACGGAAACATTTGTGAATAAAAATGTACTAGTTGACTAGGACAGGATACACAATTTTACTCTTCTTTACCCTAGCCCTTAGGCATCCAAACAATAAAAAAATTACATGTACAATGAATGAATGAAAACCAGAACTGTAGAAAATACATCAATGGCCCCTCCTAGAAATCCCTACCTCCAATCCTAATGCTTTGGTGGTTTAAACTTATAACAGATTTTATGAATCATTTTATCATGAGGGACACCTTAACATGTTACATCTTTTAACAAAAAGTCCATAGCACCAGTTGCCCACCTTGAAGGTCTTGTCCCCCTGTGTGATCTTGTCTGTAGGTGAGATGAGGATGTAGTTGGAGGCGTAGTCTGACCCCACGTTGATGCTGGCTTGGCGAGACTCCAGAAGATCCTCCCCTGCCTCTGGTTCCCACTCCTCTAGTCTCATCTTCTGTAGACCAGACAGGGTACCACGGGGGACAGTCACCACTGCAGCACTGTGGATAGAAAGTTATCATCAACAAAATTAGTTATAACCCCTGCCTCTTGTTCCCATTCCTCTAGTCTCGTCTTCCACTGTAGACATGTCATGGTACTATGGGGGACGGTCACCACAGCACTACATACAAAATGTCAGTCATAATTAAAGATTCAGGAACTTTGTGTATAACCTACATGTAAACCCTAGTCAGCACTGGGTGTGAAAATATATTTTTGTTTCAGGAAAATGCAGCACTGAAATGGAAAGTTCTTCACCTTGAATTTGTTTTGTTCAGGACACTGTCACTTACCTGCAGCACTGTGCATAAAAAGTTGTAGCTTACAGTCAAACAGATTTTGACTTACAACAAATTTTGACTTACTCTTCGTTGAATGTGATATTCCCGCCATTCCATCCCACACTCTCCGTCTTGACAGGCTGGTCCACCACGATAATGCGCCCCTTCTGGCTGCGGTTGGAGAAGTTGTTGTTCCGTGTCGACATGTAGTGAAACACACCCGACTGGGTGACCTTCCGCGGGCCAAGGTCAAAGTACGTCCCTGCATCGTCCAACTCCGACATCTCCCCGCCAAACTGGTCTGTTAAGGGCATAAATTTGTTTACAAGTTCGTTTTATCTTCAGGAACTAGTTACTACTTGTAGCTCTCCAGTGAGAAAAACTTAGTAATACATGAAGATACATTGAATTTTATCTCTTTTTAACCTTCTCCCTGCTACATAACCCTGTAACCAATACAAATTTGGCTCTAAAAGGCTACTTTATTATGGAGAATATTAAGAACCCAAAACACTTACGATTGTCTAGGATGGCAAGGTTCCTCATGAGGTCCTTACTGAAGCCCAGGAAGGTCACATTGCTCAGGTGCATGGGGTAACTCCTGCCCCAGTGGCCGTTAACTGGCTTAGTCCCATAGCCAGTCCCTTTTCCCTCAGGGTAGACCTGTGCCCCCTGTAACACCACATTGGAACGGTCCGTTCCAGCCTTCCCCTGGCCATCGTTGTTCTCTGGGTTTGTGTTTGAGCCGGTCCATCTGTAAGGAAGGGGGAGGTTGGTAAACCAGGCAACACATGTATTATCTTTAGCCTAAAGATTATTACTGATAAACTATCTTGTTAAGATTACTGGCAACTCAAACCCAATCTTTAGTTCAAGTAAAAATAAAAACTACTCACTGGTAGTGGACGTAGTCCCCCTTGGAGACCTCCAGTGTGTTGGGCACAAAGTCATACTCCACAGCGGGGTACACCTGCACAATGTTCCCACGCTTCCCGCGTACGTTCACGTTGTGGATGGTTGCCCCTGACAACTCCTCAGGACGCTTCCGAACTGCAAAGGTGTGTGACCTGGGCAGGTACAAGAAACATCATTAAATGCCGAGTGTTCTGTATATTCACTAGACATTCTTGTTCTTCATTATGGAAAAGTCTAACTGAAGACTGACATTACAATCAAGTCGGAGAGAATGAAGTGCACTTTGAGGCTTTGAAATGTACAGTAATTACAATAAAATCCTTACACATTGACTGACAGTAACTCCTGAAGGGAGAAAGGAAATTTGATGTAACCAATGCATTAATGTAAACTCTCCACCAATAACTAAGTCAAAACACATACATGTAGCAGAGAGATTATATTTACCTGTCCTGAAACACCCTGCCAAACTGGTTGGTGTTGACCGCCAGCTGAAGCTCGAAGTCTTTCTCCGGATTCCCCTCGCTGGCGAACTCTCCAAACACCTTCACCTGCGGGTTCTGCTTGTAGACGTACCCACGATCCTCTGCAGCCTGCGCAGACAGCCCAAACCTGCTGCCCACGTCCACACCTTCCTCTGCCTTGTTGTTAGTGGAGTTCACCGACGGGTCCCAGCCTTCAAAATCACCTGTGGAGATGTTGTACCTACAAATTGAGGAAGAAAAAAGAACATGTAAGAAAGTCTACATTCTACATGAACGTTTTGTAATGACGAAAAAATTTCTCCTTACAATATGGAGAAAGAATATTACAGATGCTTTCTACATAGAGATTACCAATGAGGAAGCAAGCAAGAAATGATTAGATAAGAAGACCAAGAAATCAGTTAAAAAATAAAAATACACCCTCACCTGATCCTCAGGACACAGTTCTCATGGTCCAGGTCTGGGATGGTCCAGTTAAACAGGGCGGGATAACCCCCCAGGGTGTTCCCCAGGTGATTGTCTCTGGTCCACTCTGTCTCACGACACTCCGGCGCCGGCAGGCCGTGTGCGTGCATCTCCCTCCAGATCCCCCGGGTACCGTTACGGTCGTTTGTGGGGTATCGGAAGTCCTGGGGAAAGATCAAAGAGATTTTGTAAGTACAGCACGGATTGACATGCATTCTTCAGCAATTATGCAGCTGGATCACCAACAGCAAAGTTTTCAAATCTCTGCCACCCAGTCCAGTTTGGCACCTTTGTCAGGTGTCTCAACCTCTTATCATAACTGCCACCTAGCACTCCAACCCACAACTGCAGCCACCGTGACAATCAGGAAATTAGCTGCACTGCTTATCTTTATCACTAACAGGGCAAAAGTTCATACAGAGGTTGATGCAATTACAATTGGCAGTTTCCCAGTGTACACATCTTTATGACTGTGTACAATCATGTACACCACTCAGGGTGGGCCCATAGTTTTACTAATGAAAAATGTGGGTTCTTTGACATGATTGAAGTTCAGCTCTCTTTAAACACCCACATGATGACAGGCACATGTACCATCTGAAGAATCTCAACCCTTATTTATAATACCGGTAGTACCGGTTTCACATACAAATTTATGTACAATGCATTGACAGGAAGACTGGATTTATAGCTACTAGTAGACTTTGTGACTGATCATCCTGCACCAATATTTACCTCACAGTCGACCTTGTTGTTGGGGATGATGGCCCTCCTCCCATTGGCCTGCAGGTTCTCCATGATGTACTCAGGAGGAACCACACACTCATAACGACCTTTGACATTCTCACTCTCACGCTGGTAGTACGGGCAGCGGCGGGGGTTGTTCGTCAGCACAGCGATGTCCTAAAAGGACAACAAATTAGGAGTTAGACTTTTGAAAAAGGATAACAAAGGACTGAATTCTCTGTCAAACCTATGGCTCTCTTTAGGACAACTGACTTCCCAGAAAACAATAAATGGGAGTTACCGGTATCGTGAGAATCATGTTTTGACTGTCATAACACGTTTCAGCAAAATTGTAAAACTAGTGGCCCTTTCCACCATACTGTCAAATTGAATGTTGATTTGGCATTTTTCTGTCACATTTTCTGCTTTTGTCTAATTTTAAGTGAGAGACACTTCTACATGTGACAAATGCAACTTTTCTATCCATAACCACAACTTTCCATTAGTCTAGCCTTGTGGTAAATGTGGCAGTAAAAAGAGCAGTAACTGTTAAATGTTTACAGTACAGAGCCACCAGTCTGGCACAGACCACTGCACATGTGCTGTAGGCATCCAGCTGGGTCAAGGACACATTCTAACATTGACCTCGATCTGTTAGTGTTAACTCAAGCTACAGGAACTGCCACAAGTAAGCATTTCAAGACCCCAAGCTAAAAATCAGCTTATCGGTAAGACCCTTTACACTGACTTTAGTCACACCATATAACTTGTCTTCTACACAAAAGCAGACAATTCATCCATGTCAAAATTTACTGATCACAGAGATTCCTACAGTATCCATAACACCAAATGTCACTGTACTTGGCATTCTGACAAATTGGATAACATTGGATCACAAATGTCAGAGATTTCTATCAGGGTGCCAGAGACATAAAGGTTACAGTAGGAAAGAGTGCCAAACTCACAGACATTGACATGAAAGACATAAATCTGTCCCAAGGCCCAATTTTACATGGGTCAAAGGTTTACCCTTCATACAGTTGCTAGAAAAGCAGACTGAAGAAAAAAAATGCCCTTCTTATTCAATAACAGACAACCAGATCACTTGGGAAGGATGCATGGATGAATTCTTTGAACTACAAAATAGAATGAATGTGTTTGATGCATGACAACTTCACTTCTACATTCAATTTAGAGATCTACATCACCCAACCTTGGCACGTGCACAAAAGCCCCATTCTGAGGCCATGAGTCACAAATGCCCTCGAACTTGACCCTGATACAGAAGCAACAGTGGTACAGTGTAGACACCATTGCCATGGTAGCAGAGTAACTGATGAGTTTCCCTTAAGCTTCTGTTTTACATATTGTGTAACCTGCAATTTCAAAGTTCCTGATGACTGCATGAACAAACTTTGAAAAGACTGGCATTCTGAGACCATGAGTTAGTGCTGTACTTGAATCTGAGAAACTGTGGGGTATATTCTACACATGGTTGCTAGAGTTGGACAACTCCCTGTAAATTGTAAGATTTACACACTTGCAGTTGCATCTTGCAGTTTATAATGGTGACTGGGCAGAAATCACGTTCAGTCTGCGCTACATCTGAACATAGTAAAGACCATTCTGAAGCCCTGAGTCAGTCCTGCCCTTGTAGTTGAACCTGAGGAAGTGATGATTGAGGGTACATTATGGCTGATGTGTACCAGATGTAGAGACTGCCATGCTATTACTGGGTCACTAACTTCTCATACAAGCCCTAACCTGAGACTGAGTCTTGGAAAGCAAGTGTTACACAGGGAAGAAAAGAAGAAAAGGGCTGGCAGTGTCAGATAAAGTCCAACCATCACGGATCATGAGTTATCTGGGGTAACCTCCAGTTGAACCCAGGAAGCCACAGTCAGTATCACTGCCATTACTCAACACTACAAATATGTTCCACAGACACAGATATACAGATCTCATCTTTTCAAGTACATGTGGTGCCAACTTTCCCAGCTGGAACTGATATCTACATGTTTATGGTAAGAGTCATACTGTGAGTATGCAGTTTTTCTGATCAAAACTTAAGTTGTCATGATGTCATTGCTTCCTTTTATTTCATCCTATCTATAACACAAATGTCTAGCTCAAAAGAATAAAATTGCCATCATGTATCACTAAAAATGAAATTGTAATCCAAATCAAACTCAGGGTAACATTTCCATCAAAAACTCGGTACTAACAATCATAATTTGTATAAAGTCATTTTCACCATAATCATTTCAGCTCACCTACATGTATTTAGTATGGCTGTCAACCAAGTCCAATTCAATTCAATGCCTTTATTAATCTATAAATCTTAAACTTAATGGCTCATATTGGCTAAACATTTGTACATGCACTTTCTATGTGTCACCAGTATTGGTACAGTACTGTTATTGTCAGACCATTCTCTCAGTAATACCTTCCATGGTGTTGGGTGCCAGTAGGGGTAGTGGTCTCTCTCCTCCGGACACTCGTACCCGCGCCGGTTCCCGTTGGCGTTCTGTCGGGTAAACCGTGCCGTCTGCCCGCGTAGGTTCTGAAAACACCAGAAATGAAAAATGGTTCAGCTTGACTATTTTGGTTATAGGTCAAGGATGGGGTATCAAGTTTCCCAACTATTTCTAATGGTCCCTTGGAATTTGACACTGCTACAACTTGGAACTGCTCATTACAAAATGAAACAGAACTCCTGGTCTCAAAGGTCTCTTATATTATTAGATGTGCCAAGCAAAAAGCCAACTAGAAACTGAAGAGTTATTATAAAACACTAGAGTTGATAATGATAGTGTTTTGAGGCTTGTAAACCATTGACATTAGAAGCTTTTGAAGCACATATACACATTAAAAGCACACATAATGTTACATTCTACATTTACTGGTACTAACAATGTAAAAGAAATGGGAGGCATGATCATAATTTGTTGGTACTTTTCTGTTACTGTACGGTAAGCCGCAAAACAGTCTATTTGTGTTGCAATGCCCCAAATCTTGCTCGTAATTTGTCTGCCTTTCCTATAAAATCACATTTGCATTCAAAGATCGCCCTGGTCTTCTGGTATAATGAAATTCCTAAGGAAACATTTCGCAGGAAAATTAAATTCTGTGTCCTTCAGATCTTTAATGACATTCAGAGCTTGATTGAAAAGCCTTCCATTTACAGACAAATGAAATAAATGCTCCAAAAGCTTAAAATAAAAGCCACAAATCAACTGAAAAAGGGAACTACATGTATGTTCACTTTTCATATAGAGTACAAGGCAAACAAACAACCACTACCTGATCGGCAGTGAAGAGCCCCATATTGCGTTGTCTCAGCCGACACTTGATGTGGTAGTCGTAAGTTTCGTGCATCCCATACCGCTTGTCACGGTTACAGTCGTAATTCTGGCACTGCATGGGGTTGACTGGGATGGTCCTGAAGGAGACAGTTACGATACATTCTCATTCATTATGGAACAAAGTAGAGTTTCAGTTGTCACAATGTTGTTCTAACGTTCAGAAGTCAAACACTGAACTCAGTATGGCAGTAGTAAAGGACACATTCATGACATTGAGTGACATGTGATAGGGGAAACTTAACGTAGTTAACTGAAGACCTACTAATCAAGAAACAAGTTGGCAAGTTACAATGTATGTGCTTCAAAATATGATATAAGTGAAACTATCAACATTTAAACTAAATCATTTTATAAAGACACTCTGAAGTCTGTTGGACTCAATTCTCATTCCATTGTGAGTTCTGTGCAAATAGATGTCCTTGAAGTCCAACACCTTTGTCCTACTGCTATTTGATTCTGTAAGCCCCTCTAAAATCCCTTTCAAGTTGACTTGTCAGATCACATTCCTTGAAGTTTAAAAGACTAGGAGGCTTCAAGCCCTGAAATCTTGTTTGTGGCAAAGCTTTTGTCCCCTTTTGACCCTACAGAGTTTACTTCTGCAGACATATCTGACATGTCACGGGCTGGTGCCAGTTTGGACCAGTGTCGTCCTGTCCATTCCATGTCACATCCCGCTCATCTTACCATTCATCAACTGTCAACAAACCAACATCAAAAGAAAACTGGAAATTTTTCCTGACATTTAAAGACTGACAAGAGCATCAGAAAACAAGCCATCAATGCAAGAAAAATTAGTTTGTGTTACTTAAATTAAAGTCTCTACATATTACAGTAAACAAAGACCCATAGAAAGGTAAATATATGTAGTGAACAAGGCATTCTCTTTACTCCAATTAGGGAATGATTGAAAACTCAAGTAATGAACTGTTTGACATTTATTTCTCAATGAAACACTTTGGGTGTTCTACTTGTCATTTTAAAAGGCCAATAAGGTAATTTTGTTCATTAATCTGTGATAACAAAATCGTACAGACCCAGACCCCACCTCTCATTCTCACTCAAGATAATTTTCAATGAAAAATGGTAAAATCAAACTTGCAAACTTGGGTTTAAAAACAGAGGCATATGGCATGCTCAAACTGCAAGATGTTTATATCACTTCTAGTTAGGCCATGTTGATTTGATTATATGGATGACATCCTCCGGGAACCCCAAAATTGATGCGCGCGTGCGAATAAAAAAAAAGTTTTGAAAAAAAAAGTTGTTTTCATTATGAAATCTACGTGGTCATGAGGGTTGAACAAATGGGACAGAATATGGTTTGGCGAATAATCTAGTCTTCAAGTTCATTTTTTACAATTTCGTCTTTTTTCGTTTGATTTTGGCATTCTACGACATTGGTATGTTTTTTTTTGTAACTTACGGTATATTTTTGCTCATTTTGCAACTGTTTTGTACGATTTACAGTATGGTTGAAAACTTTTTTTTTTTGAAACGGCCGAAAATTCATGCGCGCGCGGATGTCATCCATATAATCAAATCAACATGGCCTTGTGCTGTGTGCTATTAGTTGAACAAAAGAAGGTTCCGTACCACCTTGCCGTGGGAGAGGTCAAAGCTCAGACACAGTAAAGTGTACTACCAGTACATGCATTAGAGGTACCACTTACATTATCTATTATTTCTTACTGTGGGTACCAGCCTACCAGGGTAAGTTCAACAGCATTTGATGCAAGTTTCTGAACAGTTAGCTCGATAATTTCCTCCATTGAACACTGGCTTCTCTTTAGATCAATGCCTGAAACTTTCAGAGAAGCAGTTATCTTCCCTTGGCAAAAGTCGATTCAGAAAATCAATGCGACAAAGACCAACAAATGATCATCAATGCTAGTAAAAGTGTACATTGGCAGAACTCAAAATGGTACATTGTTAAAAGGGAGCTGTACTCACGTGACAGTAGTTCCATCCCTCACCAGGTCCCCACACATGTACTGCAGCACCAGCTCACAGTGGTTGTTAGGGTTGTCACAGGAGTGCTGGTTGGTCCTAGAACAACACATTACATGTCATTATGTTGGTACAAAATGTAACTTTTAACACAAGTCAGCCTGGAATCCAATCCCTAGGTGCTGTTGCCAGTGGTAGGAGTCACTGCCACACCTAAAACCAGCAATAGCACGTAGGGATTGGATTCAAGGCTAAATACATTAGTAACATCCACTCCTTGTATAAATAAAACCTGATCTACGAATGTGATGAAAACAGTGGTCTGGAAACATTTTTTTTCTAAAGACCACTACAAGCATCTGTTTGAAATTTGATGAATGTACATTGCATATGAATAGGAAGAAAGAGCTCTCAATGTACAGATCCAAGGTAATTTTGGAGTATGTTAGATAGTAACCCAATCTGTGTATAATGTCCTTGAGTAACCACAAGTCAAAAATGTTTGCAAGGTTTGTAGGAATTGAAGGTGTTTCCTAGATCCAAAATGTCAGTTGACACATTTAATAGTCTGGAAAGATGAATCATGAATCAACAGTAATCATTTGCCATGATTTGGACTGTACCATTCAATGCTGAGGTGGGACCCTTCATAGTAGTAAAGACTGCCCACGTTGTAGCCTCCTCTGTCATTGTTCTGGGAATCAAATAATCTGTAAGGGAAGAAAAAACGTATATTTCACAATTCTTTCAATTTCAAAAAAAGTAGCACTCTTTAGATCAGCTCACTGTACATAACTATAACTTTGTAACAGGAACAAAACAAACCTATTAGCTATAACTGTTACACATGTAGAACTGACACTGATGGTAGTAATTTTCTTTAGTCTATTTTGAAAGTCCAAACTGCCAGACCTTTGAAAGCCACTGGCTGGAAATCGAGATATACGCTGGCGCTGGGGACAATGCCGGCCGCGGCTTTGTTTATCTCTAATTCTTGGTCGCTAAGTAAACTCCGCGCAGGCGCACTAGTAATTGCGAAAAGGCTTATAGTCGCATTTTGTTGATATGACACGTTATACGTAGTAACAAAATCAAAGGCAAAACTGTGATGACTTTTGCTGCACCTGTGTGACAATGAATATAACGTTACTTTTATTGTCACACATTTTATTCTTGGATAACTTGTTATACTTAGATGTTAAGTTAGATCTGATTACCATACCTGTTGGCATTGTTTCTATCCCTTCTGGCTTCATCTAGCCGGTTGTTGCTTCCCCTAAAGTAAAAAAAAATAATATGAAAAACATATGAATTAACATTAGATTTTTAAAAACAATGTGATATATGGATCAGGACAGGAGGGATGTCCACATGTGGATCCGATGGCAGGAAGGAACAACTCACACTTCCTGTAACCCTGGTGCTTACAAACACTGGTAACACTAACAGGTCAGGAGGGGAAGAAAGGGTCAATCATATAGTTAGTACATGTAAACGTTATTATAATCATGGGTACCTCGTACCTGGTCCTACTTCGCTATACTGCTAAATTATGTTGTTGTTGTTTTGCATTATGTAAATTATCCATTGTGGTACACAACAGTCATCTCAAAGAGCTAGAATAGTATAGAGTTTCTGTTTCAAAAAATTATTAGAAGCTTCCAAATTATTATGAAATCACAAAGCAAAACCACAACACTTATTTCACGTGCAAGTTATCATAAACTTTGCCCCCCTCCCCCTTCCTTCCCTGCCGGTCTGTCAGTGTCCGTACCTCGGGTTGTGCATGTACACGTCCCCCTGCACGGCCACAGCCAGCGCCAGGAGCAACAGTCTCCTCATCATGGCGTCTAGATGCTTCTTCTCGTCCTCTGTGTACCAGCCGCGGTCCAGCGCGACTTCAAGTAAACTCGTAACGTCAAGGTTTCTGCCCCAAAACGACCCCCGAAAGATCACAGTCGTCAGAAACTCTCTGTGTAGAAGTACGGACTGTGTGCTTCCCGCGGTGAACTGTATCAATCCACCTGAAAGAAATGAGTCCTGCAAAATATCAGCTTGATTCCTTTTTTTTGTGTGTATTAAATTAAATATTTACAAGCGTTGAATTTTGCGTACAACGCTGACTATTAAAACTTGACCACAAGTTGTCGCATTTCCCGAAAACAAGTTACGCGTAATGATATAATCATCTTCCAAGCGCGACCCGCCCAAACACGGAAGTGATCTCGCATGACCAAATATGGACAATGGAGACATTGGAGACCCTTCCACCAGGTTTCTGACTCATCGCACCTGACTTCACCTGAAAACCTGCATTGCTTTACAGTAACACCCGCAGAAACTGTATCAAATAACTAAGAGTTTAAAAGGGATAAATATTTGCCTATCCTTGTTCGATGGTAACATTTCATATTCTACGTTCTAATATATGATATTTAGTCTAGAATGACCCTAGATGCGTGCGAACGTTTAATTTAAAGTGTGCTAAAATCTAAGTACTAGTATTTTGAAAAATACAAGGAAGAATGGTGAATAATGCAGGGAATTGCAGTGTTTGTTTCTGGAATGTGTACACTTGGTAAACAACCTTGGTTATGTCACGCGAAGTAGTCACCTTTAGTTTTCATGACTTTTAACTTTCTTAGAAATTGAGAGGACACAGATTACGGGGTTAGAAGTAAGATGGTCCCTACACCTTAGCTATGTGTAAGACAAACAAGACAAGGAATTTTGAGAAGATGGTGGCTTCTTAACAGGATTTACAAAACATTGAAGGGTTATGCTGTATGGCTCCTCATTGTGAAGGAGATTTTCTGTAAAAAGAATGAATTCTTTAAGTAACAAATACTTTGAGACCCAAGGACACCTGGATAACGTCCTCATCACGCAAGCATCATTAATGCTGAGCCTTCCAAGGACAGCTTTTGTATGTTTTTTTCTGTGAACTTTACACAAACAAGTTGTTTCGCTGCGTTTTTTTCGTTCTTAAATCTTCAAAACTTTAAGACACATAACCGAACTGTAAAATGGCAGACTGATGGAGTACAGCCATCGAAGGAAACGGCTTGATCCTTTTATTCTGAATATAAGGCATGTTCTCTACTGTAATGTTGAAGGTCTTGAAGTGTTTGTTGGAAAAAAGGACTTTGAGGTACAAAGGTACAAAGAAATAGAAGCGAACAATGGTGTATAGATTTCCGATAGAAGAGACTGGCACGCACTGGTACGGGACCGACCCATTCATGTATGGCTGGTTTGCATCACAAATTACCATAAATGTTTTACCATAGATAGTCATGCAATACCGACGACTTTGATGTGCGCCGATGTCGTCACCTTGCTATTTATATATGCTGACTTTATCTGTGTCATTAGATAACGTTCGTGCGTGATGCATTAGTGTTTACCTGTCGCCTTCAGGTACATTAATTGTCTCACCTTGCGAGGTGATACCATTTTGGTAGGGACGTAACGTGAATTAGATAGCAGAGTCATTGGATTGAGTTTATGTCTACCAATGATTTTATTTATGGAAGGAAAAAGGAAAAATTAAGATTTTATTGTTTTCAATTTGTTCATGTTTTGATTGAAATCAAGGAGGTTAGAAATCAAAGTATTGATGGTTCAAGAAGCGTGAAAAATATCCCCACTGCATATTGGTACCTTCCGGTCATGTGACCCGCACACTACACTTCCTGCCCGATGCAAAGAGTAGAGCGTTGATGGGTCAAACTTGAGTCAACTTTTGCGTCTTCAGAGCCGATCTTAGACAATTTTAAGGCAGAGGTAAGTTCTGAGGGCTTTCTTGAGTAGTTATGGTGTTCTTAGGTACCAAGAACAATGTAGAAATTCCTCATAGTAACGTGCTACGGCGGTTGTAAGGCAGCGTAAACATGTGGATATGTCTTCGGCCAGGAACGCGCTGTGCACCGGGAGAATCTGACACCGGTCCGCCGGGATAAGGTTGGGAAGTATCGGGCTTTTCAGGAAGGCTAGAAATTGACCGTCTTTGTTTATGATATGAGTCTTGTGCAGAGTGTTATTGAGTAATGCAAAATCTGTAAATATAAGGGAGTTGTCAGTATAAACATCTGACGGTCAAGTGTAACCTAAAGCAAAGGAGAAGGTTGCAGAGACGGCCTGCACTGAACTGAAGGGATTTTGTAATACATGCATATGGGACTCTTTGATTACACTCCAATGTGGCCTTTTTTCTTGTTTGATAACCTCCATGACTACACCAAAACTGTAGCATAAGACTTAGGTGTGTGGGCCTTCTGGATCTAGGCCAGAAAGCCTAACCCAGTTGACACGTTTTCTATGCAATCATGTAACGTTATAAGAAAATATATGACTTTTTGGAGACACAGTAACAGTAAGAGCACGGCCTTCCCTTGCACCAAGGTGTAAGTCACTATGTGGAAGACCACACTGTTGACTGCCATGTTGGAGTGGAACCACTACACCAGCACAGTTCATGATTGCATAGAATCATAGACTTGACTTCATGGTGGGCATCAGGATCTGTGTACTTTTATTACTGTCTCCAGAAAAAGAAATTCTCAGGTCTCAGAGCTGGAGACAATGCTTTCCATATTGCCATGATTCACATTAAACATTAGACAAATGTATATTTCTAGTAGAGTCTTTGTGTTTGTTTTTGTTTTTGTTTAAGGTTAACTACAAGGGTGATTCAATGCAAATTATTTTTTTTCTGGTGTTGCCACTGCACGGGAAGAGTTCAAAATGGTTCCTGTTCAAAATGGAAGGAAGTGGTTTTGAAATCTTCAGAGGGAAGGAATTCTGAAGTGAAGGGATGTGTTGTTGTGTCATAAGTGCAATTGATCAGTATTGGAAATATGTACTTTACTTTATTCTTTATTTCAGGCCCATAGTTGACAAACAATTAAAATAATAGGGTTCACACGTAGTAAAAACGGTAGGGTTCGGTACATATACATACGAGAAGGGCCTTACCGGTAGACTAGTACTATAGTTGATAGATTATAAAGCTTCAGATCAGAATAAGCAGGAATTAGTAGTGGAATTACTAGTAGTTGAGGATTGCATACTTCCCATCTAACATCTCTGATTTCTTATTTGACAGAGATGTGGAGAACGTTGAGTGTGACGTTACTCCTGACCAGCCTGGTAGGAGGAGACGTGTATCTCCACAACCCTCGTGGCTCCAACAACAGGCTTAACGAACGGTCTGCCAACAGACAGAACGCCAATAGGGTCTTCGACTCGCAGGTTTGTTAAAAATCCTTATTTTTATAATCCATGGCAATTCATGATGAGCCAAACAAAGTTTTGGGTTTATGCAAAACGCTAAACATCTTCACTTACTGAAAGTTACTGATGAATATCTGTTAATTTACAGAACAACAATCGAGGAGGTTACAATGTTGGAGACAAGACCAACAATGCCTTCAACAATGAGGACGGACAGTTCAGAATGGTAACAACAAAGAATTAATTAACAATATTTTTGATGATGAATTCTAAATGTACTCTGTAGCTGTTGCATGTATGAATCTTATTGTGTCACAAGTTGACTCACAATGTACTTGTATACATTCTTGTACATGTATTTGCAGAACAAAATATGACAATGTTTGTCTTCAATGTACCTCTAGGAACATTCAATCAGTCTGCTTTCACAACCATCCCCCAAAAATTCTTTACATGTATGTATGGATGATTATAACATTCTGGCAAATATACACCACATGAACAGGACATAAAATAACTGTCTGCGGGCTGTAATTTGTAATACATGTACAATACAGTATTTGAGAAATAATCTTTTATTCTTTCACAAATCCGTCTTGCTCCCCTTCCCAGACTTATTTCCAGAGCGGCCCCTATGGCTGGGATTCCTCAAACAAAGAGGACAAATCTGGGCGGAGTTTCCTGACTGTGGAATGGACCAATCAGCATGGCTGTGGGGGGAACGCAGACTCCGACCCCCACAAACAGAACTGTCAGGTGGTCCTACAGTACATGTGTCAGGACAACATCAACTCTGCTACAGGTAAGGGGACACAACTGGGTGGTTTACAAATAAACCACTGTTGTATCTTCTATCTAATACATATGCATAATCCATCAGGCCTGGCATTAAACTTTGTGAACTGAAGCATACTGGTGTAGTTTGGAGCTCAGCTCAGCTCAGAGTCCAGATTTTGTGGATGTCAGTCTTTGAATGCCCCAGACTGCTGTTACAGTGAATAAATTTTTTTTAGTGAGAAACATTTATTTGATGTTTTGTGACATGTTTAAAGGCAATTACTACTATGACATTGACTTTTTGTGGCCCATAGTTGACATACCTGTGTTTCAGGAACTGCTGACACCCTGCGAAACGGGCGTACTACCCAGACCCAGGACCACACCCCTGCTAACAACCTGCAGGAGACGAAGGCACAGGCCAACAGCCGTAAGAACAACAACGTGAAGACAGACCGCGCCATTCAGGAGCCCTGGCAGTGGTACGACAAGTGCTACAACAGGGAGAGGAACCAGGGTCAGTGTGTTTGCATTGTGGTTTTGTCATGTATGATTAGTTGTCACTTACATGTACACTGTGTATTTGCTCTGTTTACATGTAGCATTGATTTCACTTCAGAAGTGAAATCTAAAATACTTGCAAGATTAATATTCACTTGAAACTGTAAGTTTAATTTCCCAAATCCTCTACCTCCACAGGCTTGTTTGTTGCTGACCAGATTACCCGCCGTAACAACAATGGCTACAGCTCTGCAATCCACACGAGACAGAACCCTAACGGGAACCGGCGCGGCTACGAGTGTCCAGAGGAGAGAGATCACTACCCCTACTGGCACCCAACACCATGGAGAGATATTGCTGTACTGACTGACAACATCACCATGTGCGAGTAAGTTAGAAATTTGTTTTCTTCTTGGCTCACACATATTTGAAATCAGATGATTGCATTGTTTTTTCCTTTAACAGTGAACAGTCATCTAGATACTGAATAATGCACATTATTTTTGTTACAACATGAAAGTTTGCGAGAAAGCAAATGAGAAAAGGTATCCATGGCATTGTTTTGCTCACAAGTTTCAGTTTTAAGAAGATGTAGTGCATATAAGAGGGGAAGACTTCACTTCTTGAAGTCAAGCATAAAACAAGCCCTAGTTTGAAATTGAAGGCTTGGTTTTTAGTTAATGAATACCCAAATTCTACTTTTCCACAGCTACTACAAGCGTGAGAGTGCAAACTCAGCAGCCAAGTACGAGTGTGTGGAGTTCTATAACAATGCCAGGACAGTGAAGAAACACTGGTCACGCTGGAACAACCAGCAGGACTGTGAGGACAACGGTGGGGAGTGGAGGGCTTACTACAGCTATCTGGAGAAGGCACCCACAGGTATGGTCTTACAATAATGTTCTAGTGGAATACATATGCAATAGATACTCAAGGGTACTAGTATACATGTATACAGGGAGTACTTCTTTCTGCTTTGAGTGTAAAATGTTGAAGGCTGGAACCATGCTTGTAACTGGGCTCAAATCTCAATTAAAAAACAGATGCAGGATGTGTCAAGCATGTGTCAAATTTCTACTTTGTTTTTTGCAGTTTCCCAGGCAGACTGTCAGGGGGAAGGGCGCAGCGGGCTGCGGTACGTGTACGGTTACCCCGAGGGCGAGGACAGCGACACGCAGACGTGCCTGGTTCTCCCACCGGCGCCTGACTGCCAGCCGGCACCGTGGAGCCGGTCCAACCACCTGGGGAACAGCAGGGACGGGCAGGCCAGTAACTACACCTGGGTCCTGCCGTACTTCCCTTCTGGGAACACCAAGAGATGTGTGTTGAGGGTCAGGTAAGGACACTGGAGTGGGAGATGGGGAGAGGTAGAGGGATAAGAGAGAGAAGAGAGAAAGAAATGGGATGGGCCAGGCTAGTAACTACAGCAAGGTGTAGATGTGTGCTGAGAATCAGGAAAAGAAAGTGGAGGGAGAGAGGGAGGAAATTATACAGTAGTAATTTTTATTTGTACTGTAACGTTTCTTTGAAATATTATTTTCCAGGTACAACATCTCAACAGATGACTATGATCCTTGGCAGACTGATGCAGCCTACAACCAAAACCTGTGAGTATGGTTCTCTGTATCTATAAGATTATAAAACAAGTGTTTCAGTCACTTTTGAAATAAATTCAAATATTATTGGCAATACGTTTTGTACATGAGTGGCCATTGCTGACTTGACTGTTGTTGTTGCTGTTCCAGACAACTTGGCCTGCTGTCCCCTGTACAGCAGAACCCGACAGTAGACATTGGTGCTGAGTACTCCCCACTCCGTCTGGCCATCAACACAGCACAGTTCGGCAGGACCTTCCAGGTTTGTACAAACACATACATGTCCTCTGACAACTGTAGTACAGCCTAAGATTTTTTTGGTCATGTGACTGTAGGAAAATGTGACATTATCATTAATTAGTCAAAAGTTGCTAGAACTTAGGAGATATTTGATTGGTTAACCTGAGGAAGGCTGCAGCTGAGAATGGAAAATTTGTTGTTCTAGTGGATTCATTTTTCACGAAGAGAGTTTATATTGTAATTCAGGACCGGAGCCACGTGTTCCTGTTGAAGCCTCGGCCCAGCGGTCTAGAGGGCCGTGCCATCCACAACCTGAACGTACGCGGGAAGCGTGGGAACATCGTGCAGGTGTACCCCGCTGTGGAGTACGACTTTGTTCCCGCCCACCTGCACATGGAGGAGGGAGACCTGGTCCACATACAGTGGGAAGGTGAGGAGAAACACACACTCATGCTACTACAGATGTCTGCACTGTATTACTGTACCAAGAAATTCTTTGCTTTACCTCAGAAAAACAGAATGGATGAGAAACACAGGTTGAAATGTTATCAAAGGAGACTCAATGTGTAGACTTCAATTATGCAGGGGTTGGATGTTAGAGGTCATATGATATGCATATAGAACAGCTGATATTTTAAAATGAAGGGTGTCTGATTAAGAAATACAGATTCTGAAGCATAAACTGAGATCTGCTGTTGTTCTGTGTTCCAGGGTCGAACAGTCACAACAACGGGAACCCTGCTGGTGACGGCCAGGCAGGAGACGCTGGGGAGGGCACAACTGGTAGGGAAACTTTGGAAAATACATTCTGCTTTAGCAATTGAAGACATTTACTTTTTGTCTCTAGAAGTTTGAAAATTCTGTTACTTTCAAGTTTGCATTAGTTTTATTTTATTTTATTTTATGACGATTTACCACATTTGTGGAAGGATTGACATAACAGGTGACTATCACCTTTACAAGATGTCAAGCCTGTGACCAGACTGTAAGGTTTGAACCACTCACACCGGGAAGGACCCCTACTCTTTTCGATAAGTGCGGTGGGTTCTTTTACGTGCGTGGGGTGTGGCTCTCCCAAACACGGGACCTCCATTTAACGTCCTATCCGAGGGACGTCCCTAACCGAAGCTAGGTACTCATTTACACCTGAGTGAAGTGAGGAAAGTCGTGTAAAGTGCCTTTCCCAAGGGCACAAGATCGGTGACATGGGCAGGATTCGAACCCGCAACCTCTCGGGTGTGAGCCGAACGCGCTACCGACTGCGCCACACGACCCCACAAACACTTTTACAAAGGGGTCTATTTTTTTCTCTTCCTGCAGGTACAGACCGTAACAACATTGTTCAGATGAGATCTCTGCTGGACAACTTCCCTGCTCCGTTTGAGAACTCCACCATGTGGAACAGTGCCCGGGTGTGGTGGCCGGCTGCACCCAAGTATGGACTGGCTAAGGACCTGGCTGTGGCTTTCGCCAGCTCAGGATACTACACGTGAGTATTGACTACTCAGGGTTTACAGCAAAGGCTATGTCTGTCTGTTTTATTATCCAAGTGAATTCTACTATGTACACAAACAAAAGAGTGCTTAGTTTATCTATCATTTTTGCCCTCAGTTGTTTCCATGCGGAAGTCTGCCACACTGAGTCAGTGGAACGGAAAAACAAACTGGACAAGCTTCTCAACAACGCGCCGGCGTCATTCGAGGGGGCTCTTCTGGAGTTCCGGAAAGGCACCTACCACTACATGTGCACACGGAACAACAACTTCTCCAACCGCAGCCAGAAGGGAACCATCCACGTGGTGGAGGGGACAAAGTCATCCTTCACAGACAACGACCTGCCTTGAAACTTGCCATTAAACTTCATTTGTTTGTTGGTAGATAACATAGTAGAGAGTTCAAACTTTGTTCCAACACATAAAATTAGCACATAAAAATTTTTGACCCTCCTATTGCATTCTTCCTCACTTTTGACTAGTCCTTTGGTCCCTTGGATTCTCTGGACGACTGCAGAAGAACTGCAATAAAGAATTTGATGCGCTCATTTTTTGTGTTGGGACACAAAAATTTTAACTCTGTACTAGACCAGCCTTGGTCTTTGTCAACCAGTTTAGTCATACATTACATTATCATTAATCTTACATCATTCTGTGTTTATTTTGTATAACATGACACCGTAAAGGTTTGTTTGTATTTATTGTAACTTGATTACAAAGTTATTACACAAAATGGACCAGCCAGTATGACCTGCCTCAACATGAAATTTGTGAATTTTTCATGCTGTAAAAATCTGCTTTACAAGTAGGTGGTGTACAGTTTAGACTGGGACTAAAAACCTATGCCTCTCAGCTTTAGAGCTAGCCATTCCACCACCATTCTGGTCAATTGTAACCTGTAGCAGCAGGTCTATATATATGTGGCTTTTTTAGTATTATATAATCAGTACATGACAATGTTATCACTGGCATCATAATCAAGCATTGCATTTCATTGAACTGTAATATTGTGGAGATGCTGCTAATTGTAACATCTAGAGGCCTTATACCTATCCATATACTGTTGCTAGCTGCTGTACAAAGTGCCTGTTCACAGAATTAGTAACTAGAAATGTTTTCCTTTACTTTTGATATCCCGATGTTTTGTACTGTACATTGTATATGGGGTGTTTTGCAATAATGGTGAATATAGATGTTATGATAGAAGTACAAATGTATCTTTATAGTATATTAGCCTCCATAAGACTTCGGAGCACATTTGAATGGTGATATTTTGTGCTGATTGTGATTGTTTGTTCTGATTGGCCATTGTTTATGAACTGAAAATGGCAAAAGTTATTTGCCTGATGGTGGAAAATGTCACTATTGAAATGCTTGTTCGTCATCTGTGAAGGCTTGTATACCTAGAGACAATCCTTGGTGTAGACAAGTTGGTGTCTGCTGGTTCAGACTCGATTGGAAAATAAAATGTGTTCATGTAAAATACTTCAAGTCTTACTTTTTTGATGGATCTCTGTGCAAGGCAAAGAGAACACTGCTAGGCACTCAACTAAGTTTAGGTTTAGGAACAGCATCTCTTTTCAGAAATCTCAATGCTGGAGGCAAGCTTTACTCACCAAGAGTGAAGACTAATTAAAATAACTGACCTAATAGAAGAAGTTATGAAAGCTGCTTGGGAACATTCCCTGTCCCATTTAATATTCCTTGTGTTCTTTTTACAGGAGGAATAACTGTAAGAATTATTGCTAAATTGTGCAAGACCTTCCAAAATCAAGGGCTCGATTTTCTAGAACACAGGATATTTTTGTTATCCAGTTACTGACTGTAGTTAGATTGAGCAATCTGACAAAACTAACATTTGTATACAAACATCTGATAGTTGTAGCTTGACACCAGCAGTCATAAACATTTCATAACACAAAATTATGATCATAATCATGATATTTATTCATCACACATGCAAAATTGTTTACAACCAAAAAATATTACAACATTAATCAATACATCTTGCATATAAATAAATACTTGAAACAAAGACTACCGTCCAAGAGGAAAGTCTTCAATACAAATTTCACTGCCTACTGTAATTTTGTCTCTACTTCCTGCACAACATTCTTCTTGGACCTTTCTTTGTAATTTTTACATGTTTCCTTAGAAACAACAAAATTCAGGTCAGTTTTCTCTGAAATATTATACATTAGTTTTATTCAAACTGGACATCCACCTGATTAGTACCAATGTAAACACTAACTTTTGCCAGTTCAGATTCCACCCAAATATGGAAACTATAAAACAATTAGACACTGTTGACTCCTGGGAATAAATTCTAACTTCACAAGACTCAGATCAGTGCCATAAAGAACGAAAGTTCTGCAAACATCAGGGAACTACCAACACTTGTGGACTTCTCTCTTGTGAGTTCTGTGGAGGATATGGTTATGTTTGTCACTGCCTGAGACTCCTGTCAATGAGGGCCCAGTGGTGGCTATCTGGGCCAGCAATCCTTTTTTTATATGATGGGCAAGTAGAATATGTAAATACTATATGGTTCGTAAAAACCCAAAATTCCAATCACTACAATTGCCAAGTCCTCACCAACTTACACCAGACCTGCTGTTCTTTGTAGTCCTTACCAAAGAGTCTCTCCATAAAATTTTTGAAATTACCTTAAGCCATTCATACTAGTCTGGTACGTTCTGGCCTTGCCAAATGTTCCTATCCTTCTCCGTAACTCAAGAATTTTGATCTGCATTTTTTAAACATTCTTACATTATTGCAAATACATGAAGTGATCTAAATTCAATAAAACTACATGCACATTGTTTTCTTTAGCAATACTCACAAACAAAAATTGCACAGAAGTTTTCAACAGAACAATTTACTATATACATGTACAACACAATGTGTGTATGTAAACACCAGTATAACATTATGGGACAGAATTTTGTTACCATATTACAAAGAGGAATCAGCTTTGCTAAATTTTCAGCCTACCCCAACAACAGTAATGAGTTTGTATCAGAGGCAGACTTTTTGAAAATAATAACTGAAATATCACAAATCCTGAATAAAGGCTTAAAAATTGTTTGATAACTCTGATCTTTGTATTGGAACTGAAGCTACTGTTTAGTCCCTTATCATCAAACATAATTTTTCATGCTACATGTACATGTAATTGAACATGTATGATGTTGTTCCCTCCCCACAGTGTCCCTATCTCCAACTCCTATTCAGTGTCTTCATGGCAGCTAGGCGATGAGTTATCAGTGTGGCCATGACCAGACCTAACAATATAGAACTGATAAAGAAGTAGTCAAAATCTTCTTTCAATACATCAAACATTTGAGATGGCATTATCCTGGTGTAGAACAAGTCTAAACCATATGCTAGCACAACAGAGGTAGACTCTAGCCCTGCTGCTCCTATATGAATCCCCCGTATCCCCTCTACAGACTGGTTATATGTGAGAAGTGTCATTGGGTTGATGTGCAGTTCAGGGATGTACGGGTACACCCCTTCCTCCTGGTGCTGCTTGGTGGGGATGATGGGGCGGCGAGGGTCTAGGATGTTCTTAGGGAGCGTCATGAGGCCACCGTTCGGGAGGGCAAGGAGCAGGCTGCGTGCGGTGATGCCACGTTCCGTGTTGCTGACGGCCATGGCGGTGAGTCCCGTGGGGAAGATGTAGGCCTGCTGCAGGACCAGAGGGAGGCTCTGGGTGGAGAGGGACGAGAACGTGGTGGAGTTCCTGTCCCCCTGCGACTCAAACAGCTCCAGGACGGTCACCTCGTGTCGGCGGAACTTCCCGTTCCAGTAGTGATAGACGACCCAGTTCTCGGAGTGAACCAGGTGGACTGGCCCACTGGCTCGCTTGTGCTGCATGCTGTACACCACCTGTCCTGTGACTGCATCTACCAGATACAGAGTCAACAGAGGAACATCTCTCTCTATGCCCTCAGTCATTACTGCTAGGAGGTTGGGGTTCAGATACTTGTACATGACACTTCTGTCACTCAACACCCGCCCCTGGGAGTGGACGTGCTCATTGGCTCTCCTGGGTACAACACTTACAATTCTCTGGGATGGGATGGGGAGGCTGAGATGCCAGGCTTGAGAGAGCTCCACTTTCCCGTCCTGTAATGTGGTGAGGCTAAAACCCGTCAGTGTGCTCTTCGCTAGATCGGCAGCATGGAGGAAAATCTTCCCATTGTTTTTCTTGAGGACAGACAAGACTGAGGGGGAAGGTGGGAAGATGTGGACCCCATGATCAGAGTCAACAATCATGACCGGGTGGAGGTGGTGGTTGTTCATCACAGGGAGAAGGTTTGCCTGCAGCACTTTGAAAGGCTGTGGAGTTCCCCAGGCAAAGCTTGTGTTGACAGGCTGCCCAGTGGTAGGGTTGAAGGTAAAGACGAGCCCGTTCCCCGTGGCCTTTTCCTGAGCCACCAGCATGGCCTGTGGAGGGTGGGGGAAGTGCGCTGTGGTCCGCTGTACGAACAGGTACATCTCGCCTTGGCTGAAGCACTGGATGTTTGGTAGGAAGTACTGCCAAACGACATCGCCGTTTGCGCTGTCCAGTCCGTACAGCTTACCAGCAGACGTGACCACCACGATCATCTTGCGGAGGTTGAAGGGATCCCTCTCCAGCTGTTTCTCCACTTGTTTAGCTTTTGGCCTCCTGTACTCTTCAAACTTGTCGGCCAGATCCTTCAGCTGTTCCAGCTGCGTGGTGATTCTCCTCGTAAACATCTGCCAGACTGAGAGGTCTTCCTCAGACTCCTCTCCAAACTCCTCCTCAAACTTGCTCTCTGTTTCCGACACAGGCAGATCCACCTGGTCGACGGCAGAGATTGATGCCAGCGCCTCGTTGCGCTGCCACATCACGTGCCCCTGGTTCCCCTGCAGCTGCTGAAGCATCAGTAGTGATTGGTCCTCCATCTGCAGCAGCGCACGATATCCCGTCGAACTGTCGCGTTTCAGGAATGTGTACACTGTCACCTGCTGGGGAGACCCAAAATGTGGCTGATGGGCTATCATCTGAGTTAAAGCTTGGTCTTCTTTCAGATTTTCTAGGTAGAAGCCAGTAACAACAAGTTCGTCCTTGCTTCCTTTCTTCACAAAGAACATGATGTCCCTTTCCTGACTCCTTGCTGTAGTGGTTGTATACACATCTGGGAAATCTTTTAGGACAGTTAACGTGCTTGCCGTTGCTTGCAGGAGTACGAAATGATCCTTAGCCAGGCGAAGAAGGACCTCTTTCCTCCCTACTTGTACTGACTTGAGGGCCAGGCTGTCCGGCTGCCAGCTGTTGAATCCCAGTGACAGGAGGGTGACTGCAGAAAAAGTACTGCCATCCACCAGTGACATGGTGTACAGGGAGTTGGTGCTGGCTTCAGAGCAGACCAGAATGTTGTCTCCTGTGACCACACACTGGGTGGACTGTGGTGAGGCCCATCCTGCTGCAACAACCCTCTTCACTGCCTCGTACCCCTTCCCAGGGACATGGGAGTACGACACAATCTGTACAGTGGATTGGGTGGAGATGCTGACAGAGTAAAGCTGGCCATTACTTGCTTGGTGCAGGACAGCTGTCCCCCCAGACTCCCCGCTTGGCCAGACCTCAGTGCTCACCATTTCATGGCCGTCGACTGCTGACAGAATCCTCAAAGTCTTCTTTGTCAGGACTGCAACCGATTCTACATATGATCTGTCATCCTGCTTCCCTTCAACTAGGAGTGCTTTTGCTGGTGAATCGTTTCCCTCTTTTCCGAGAAACTCCCACAGAAGAGTTCCACTGGCGGGGTCCCACGCACGAACTGTGTCCCCTCCGTTGCATACCGTCACCAAGATGCTGTTCTTGTGCAGTACCACATCCACCCCCCAGGGGTCTCCCCTCTCCTGCACATGCCTCCAGGCCAGCTGCCCTGTTCGGGAGTTGATGGCTGCCACGACGTTGGACTCTGTGCCCACAAAGATGCGTTTGCTGACTGGAGCGGACTGGTCGAACATGGCCTGCCTCACAGCTCCGATGTACTGCTGGTGCCAGTCGAACTTCCCAATCTGATCTTCATACATACCACTGGTGGGGAGGATGTGAACGACAAAGGCTGACACCAGCAGTATCCATGGCAACAGGAAACCTTGACCTTGGGCTGTCATGTTGAAGTTTGGTGTTTTGTAGTCAATCAATTCCTTTGAAGTTTGATATTCACAGCTGATATGTTTCCAATCTGGGTAAATGAGAGGAACTGAAAAAGACAAAACACAATAAATTCAGCATTAGTATTGTAACTGCTTTCCCAAAAACGTCTACTAGTATCTTGTTTTCAAAAGTAATCTCTATGCAGATGTTGAAAGTGAAGTTGGTAGCATTTTTTTCAGAATTGAATTCATCCCTGGCGTTGTTACATACACATGCATGTGTCAGTGTGTAAAATAAAATGTATGCATGTTGCCAATAATTTCTATCCCTTTGTCTGTGTGTAATATTAGCGCCAAAATAAGCTTTGATTATACAGTTTTAAACAACCTTTTGTAGACACTGTTAAGATGACATTTACGGCACTTTCGTGATGACTAGAGATTATAAAACATGATGACCACTGCTGATCACATAAAGCACGTGCATGTTTCAATTGACCCGTTTTAGTGATTCATTTATACAAATGTTATGGAAGGCAAAATTAACAAAAATGATACAAGGTAGATCCCACAGAAACTTCGTTTCTTATAGGACAAGATGATTGCTACTATGTACCCACAACAACTCACCACAGGGCGCGAGTCAAGCCGTAAAAGATTCGTCTTTCTGCTTGTTCTTCCTCACCTAGACCGGGTGGGCGGCCATTTTGCAGCTGTTCGACTGCATCGAAACAAACAAAAAAAAATGTATCAAAGACACCTGTTATAGATCAATAATTGGATTTGATTCAACAGATATCACATAAGATTTTGATAATTTGATTTCTAATAATGATATCTTAACTATATTTTCTTATGGTGTTTAAACTAATATATTCTACTTTATTCTATTACGTTTCAGCGCGATGATTTGTCCTGTCGTGCTATGGACGATACCAACATTAAGAGGTGTGATGTAGATTCTAGTCGTCTTTTTTGTTGATAGAAACAGCGTTTAGATAGCAACAAATACCTTATGATTACACTGATAAATACAATACATATCTATAAATATCGTCTATTTTTCACACAATTAATTCATAACCTTTATATAAAAGAAACTCATCCGTTTTCCACTATGGCTCCGCCCCTTACGTCACAGAACTGCACCCATGTGTCCACAAGTTATTTTCCACAAAGGCGCGGTAAACAACAGTCCAGTTTTGGCGCGACCCGACACAACCTTGTCAACATGATGGCTTCAGACGGCGTTAACGGCACTCCAGGCTGCCGATTCATTAAAGAAGAGGTTCGTAAACCCTTTGATATCGTTGGAAGCTAGAAGCTGAGGGAAAAGGGTGTTTTTAGAGGATGTTTTGAAATCTGTCGTTGACGTATGCGTATGGTACGCAGTGAAAATCACGTAGTCAAACCCGCCCGGATCCTTGCATAAATTTTTTGATAAATATATGAACGTCACAAAACGTGATTGCAGATTTGTCAGCTACTCAGTTTAATTAATGTTACAGCAAATATCACCACCTCCTTTGCGTTTCTGGTGTCATAGAATAACAAATAATTATAACTGGAGATAATTACGGGTTCCAGTCAGCCAGGCGCATAACGTACCTTATTATTCACACTTCAGTGCTCGGATCTAGTTTTTCGCGTGTTGATTTATAATAAGTCGAAATCAGGCACGTTTTCTGTATCACAGAACGCCAGATGGTTAAAAGACAGGGGCCAGAATGTTTTAGCAAAACCTTCAAAAGAGAAGGTTGACAGATATGCAGATGACCTTATGCACTTTTGTCCTAGTTTTGGGGTCACCTGCCTGTACATGTGATGTCACCTGCCTATCATTGTCCTTTGTTTTGTGTCTATCTCAAAGGTAAAGGGGATACTAGTTGTTTTTTTTTTTCAAATGAAATTAATTATTGTTTTGCTTATCAAGTTATAAGGTAGGCACGTATGTACTAGTAGGAGCCAAAACAGGATGAGGATGGTCCAAAACCAAAACAAAACCTTTGTGTAAAAGCTAGGTGTGGTAATCTGTGACTCAAACTGAAGTTGACAACCTGGGTAGGGGACTGCTATTGAGGACTATCATGTGGATAGATTTATGGTGTCAGCTGCAGAAAATCCATGCCTCACTGTTGCTGTAAAAATGTGGCACCCCCTTATACTAGTATCATAAACTTTGATAAAGAGAATTGCAGGTGTCAAACAGTGCTGAAGGATTATACTCTTTTGCACAGGGCACAGGTGTAATCATGTTATACTATCATAGCTTCAGGCTATGAGTAAAATGACTGTACTGTAGGACACCATTTATCCCTTCCATCAGTACAGAGAGTATATTGTTTCACTGGATACTGTTTAGAATGTTCAGTAAAAAAAGTCAACATAACAATATCTTTTTTTATGTTACATGTATAGTACACCAACCAGAATACATTAGGATGTCGGGGACAAATCAAGTTCACTTCTTGCCTCTGGGTTATTCTTGAGTATGGTAGATATGCGGAGAAGTTTGAACTTTGGTCCACTGTGCTAGCCTGACATATAATGACAGATGGAGGTAGCCTGGGTGTTCTTGATTTCTCATACACCAGAGAATGTTCTGACATAGCCTGCATGCCATCTATAAACTGTTGTAAAATGGAACTCATTGCCAGATAATAATATAGCATTGAATGATATGTTAGTCCATGTGGTTGGACATCTAGAGGTTAGATGCCATTTGATGTAACATATGTGAATGTTATTTGCAAGTTATTGCTTAATTGCAGTCAAGCAGGCAGAAATAAAGAACATTTGAATATGTTACAGAGAGAACACAAAAACCATGAATAAAATTGGAGTAAGTACACATGTCTACTTCAGCTGTACATGGGTTTGAGTTCTTTCATGCAGCTCTGTATAACCAGCCATTATACTGTTTACAGGCTTAAGTCTGGAAACTGGATCTTTTCATAGATAGCCGATTAGAGTTGGCCGGGACCTACAGCTGGTATGGTCACATGTAGCACTGGGAAGAAGGCATTCTGGGGTCACCCATGCCTAAGGGAGGAAGGGTCCATGCTGATAGTGCTAAAAGGATACTGTGTAAACAACATGGAGGGGTCAGAATGGGTTCATACATGGTATCATCTGTATTCTCCCAAAATGGAAGCGTTTCCAATGAAAATGAGAGTAAAGTTAAATCAGGGAAATTACAAACAAAATAATACCGCCATTGTGTACACAATGTGGAGGAGTAAAAATGAGGTTATGTGGTATGATATCATCTTGACTTCATTGCAAGAGAGAATTCCGCCAAACTTCAGAATTGAAAGTGGAAGAAAAATGCAGATCACTCCAAGTACAGGGAAACTGGGTGGAACTAGTCATACAAGAACAGTCTGATCTAAAGTGGAAGAGCTCCCTGTGTAACACCCCCCGGGGAGTATTTGAATTTGCGTTAAACGGAATGTTAAACTGGCTACCGACAGCTGATAACCTGGTCCGCTGGGGAAAAGTCCTCTCACCGAAGTGCCCACTTTGCAAAGGACGGCAGACTCTGCGACATGTCCTCAACATGTGCCCTGTAGCCCTCAAGGACAGGTATACCTGGCGACATAATAGTGTCCTTATGGAACTAGTCAGCACCCTTAAGCTGTGGCATGCAAAGTCCAACCCAGAGGTCACAATCAGGTGTGACTTAAGCCCAGACTACCTGGAAGGAGGTACACACACCACAATTCCCCCAGACATCCTACCGACACCGCTGGTACCTGACATCACAGTCCAGGATCCTGTCAAACGAACGCTGACCCTGATTGAACTTACCGTCCCGTTTGATCAGAATGCACAGGACGCCGAGGATAGAAAATCGGCGAAGTACGAAAGTCTGGTTAATGACATTAACTTTCATAGTGGATACAGGGCTACTCTTGTTACAGTTGAAGTAGGAAGCAGAGGGTGGATTAACGGCGAGAACATTGCAAAGCTGAAGTCACTCTGTCCGGTCAGTCACAAAGACCGTGAAGTCAGACATCTTAAAAGTAGACTGGGAAAGTGTGCACTTTGTGCATCTTATGCAATCTATTGTGCCAGAAACACGCCT